CGATCCTACGTGTCACACGTTTCATTTATAATCGCGCCGGAACGTCTATTACCGCGAGTTTGTGTGCCGTGTGCTACGTGGACGACGTGTAGATCGGTGTGCGTACGACGGCGGCTACATGGGGGCCGTTTTCGAAGGCTGTTTCGACGAAGGGGATGAAATAGGCTGGCTGAAACGGGAGAGGGGAGGAGGTAGTCGAGGCTGAGAGGGCGGGAGGTGGTTGGGAGGTGGGAGGGGAGGTCTATCGCTGTCGCTACCGGAGCCGGCAATGCGAGTCTAGGTTATCCGGTGACAAAGCTGGTTCGGTACGCGCAACGAGGCCCCCGGCACGTCGGATTATCACCATTGAAAATGGTGCAACTGAAACCCCACTGTTCGGATGCAGCGGCGCTTGAACGCGATACGCGGGCCAAGCTTTGCATCGCAAAACCGGAAGCGAATTCCTTGTCCTGTCGTGCGCATTTATTGACGGTGTATCCACCCTCCCCCCGAGAACTCTCTTGTTCGGTGTTGTTTTTCCATCGGTCGCGATGCCATCGACAAAATTTTCACCTCTGATCGATGCCTCTGGTGTACGGTTACCTGTCACCAGTAACGATCTACCGGATTCCTGGACGTTGTCGAATAGGGGTCTAGAAGGGAGTAGTAAAGCTAAACCTGAAAGGTTACCGAGAAACACGCGGTTTCGGGACACCAGGTGGGACGAAGGAGGGAGGTGAAATTTCGCTGGTTTTGCTTCGGGTGTGCTTTCGGCACGCGCGATCAACGGGACGAGATAGAAACGACTCGGCCGGATTCTTCCAGGAGAGCGAAGGGGGTTATACTAAAGTCGGATGCCCGGTGAACGAGGTAAGGCGAACCACCCTCCGGGGGGTTGTAGCTAAATTGGCGGCAGTATATTACCGGTCAGACTCCCGCATTTAATTTGAATATAATCGTGGAAGGAGATCTCAGGAGCTCGGGGGCACTTCGCGACGCAGAACTGCGTGACGGTGACCGGAAGTGCTCCCGGGACACCGGAAACAAAATGGCCGCTCCCTTCTCTACTGCGACTCGCCTCTTTCCACCGCAACCCCTGCAATCCGGCGTCGCGACCTTTCTGCCCGCCACCTCGTTGCGCCTCTCTTCGCGCTCCAACCCTCCCGAAGAGAGCGTGAATTCGTAACGCGAAGTTAACTTTGCATTGTTGGCTGCCTGACGGCCGTCTAGCTCGAACATCGAAATGCTGTCTTCGCTAGCGACTGAGGACGAATGGTCTTCTATTCGCACCAGATGGGAACCCGAATATCGTGGACAATCGTACTTTCGTAATAATTTCCCCCCGTTCTTTTTCCCTCTTCCCCCACTGGGAAGCTTATCCGGAAGCGTATCTATTAATGGTCCCGTCGTTACTTAGGCATTTCGTACGCGGCAGAGGAAGGTGGGAGTTTAATGATTTTCGAGTAATTACGAGGCCAGGCGATGACTCGCGTGGGAATGCAGCAGGGCAACGGGTTCGATAAGCTCCGCGGAACAATAACAATTAAACCGGCCCGCCTCGTAATGCCTAAATACAATATAAGCACGAACAATGAACTGCACACCCCGCCCACCCCCTCATTGCAAGGGGAGGAGCCGTACACCGGCTCTATAATGCCCGGTGTGCTTCCATAGACAATGGGCGGCTCAAAGTTCCATCGCCACCTGGTTGGATCGCAAGTCGAAAAAGCTTCGCTGTCTAACGTCTTCCATCGGAAGGGGGGTCCCCATGAGACTTTCCAACAAGTTTAATTGCCACTCGTCCATCCATCATGGCATCTTTCGAAACTTTCCGATTGTTTTCGGTAAACTGTAAGCTTCACCGAGCCAATTTACTGACAATATTACCCGTGATTGTAATTATCGATTGAAGTAACTGAAGTTGACTAACTCCACTTTTTGAATCGTTTCAAATTTTAATGTCAAAGTACTCGATTTGTGTTTATCCTTCTATATTTAAATAAACATCAATGCAGTTGCTTTATTCAAGAAGCATAAGTTTCGATAATTAATTCACATCGATTAGGCTGATTGACACCGTAAAGTCAACTGACGCGCCTTTTAATGGACAAACGGAGTTCTTTTATCGCCAGGGCACATCTCGGCAGGTGAGTCCGCGGAAGAGGAACGTAGACGATCGCGGTTGGGCAACCGAGACGGTAGGGCCTACCCTTACGGGTTTACGATGTACGACTCCTGGGCTTAGGAGCGTATGATTAAACAACTCAGGTGTTTTATGCTCGGCTCGTGGAGATCGCGTGACCCAACGGCCACATCCGTTTCCGCTTTACCTACGGTCAACCGCTTCGACCCCTAACCAATGGTTCGCCTTAAGGGTTGCACGTTACCTTCGAACCACGAAAGAAAGTATACTTTCGACGTATCTTTAAGCAGTAATCGGGTTCGCTCGATAGTCACGTGTGTGTATGCTGTGTCGTGGCGCCGGCTAAGAGCACCGCCGTGTACCCTAACGCTAAACCTTTTACTCGCGGGCTCAAATGCCTGTTGTTCTCTCTCTCATTTTTTTTTATATTTTTATTCTCCTCCGCCTCGCGATAGGCACTCGCTTCCACGGTAGGGAAAAATAAGGCTCTATTTTTCATGGTCGATTATACGTGAATTTCAGAAGGAAAACGTGTAGCTCGTTTCAACCGGGCCGGTAGAAGCCTGATTAATCCAATGCCAATCACGAGGGGTTGCCTATGTGTGCAGCGACGATGTTGGGGCACGTTTATATTGAGGTACAGACGCGCGATACACTGATATCGGTCGAATGGAAGCTCGTTAATCCGAGACGGAAGCGCTCGGGAGCAAGAAAGGTCAGGGAAATACCGCGGCCTGACATTAGGTTACGCGAAATGCCACGGGGAATCCCCCTTTAAATCGAGCCTGGGTCTGGGGCAAGAACTAACACCCCCAGCCCACCCTCGGCCAGTTTTCGAAGCCATTGTGTACGATCGATGTGCTACCGTTAATTTTGGCGTAATGTTCGCCGTTGAATATTCCTGGAATAATTCCGGGCCAGGAAAATTAATTAATTTGCTAATTTTGGATTATCGGTGTCTCGGTTACGCACGAACGTCTCTCACGGTGGGCATTCGAGCCCACCCCCCCCCTTACCCTCTCACGCGGGATTCGTTAGTTTTCCGGGAAATTAGTCGGCGGTGATTTGCATCTGACGTACACCTCCGGGCACCTACACGTCCCTTGCATAGTTCGGAACTCTGACTTTCCACTCGGATCTCTCTCCTCACTTGGGATGGATGTCTCAACGCCCCTTCGCGGGCGTTCCCCGCGTCAATTACGCCCGTCACGGCTTGAAATTTCACCGTGGCTCTTCCTTCCCTCGACGGTATAATGGATCTATTTTTCAGAAATTTCGGGGTTTTTTCGCCCAACCTGCCCCCTCGCGAAACGGACGCCAGATGTGCTTTGCCGAAAGTGGCGAAAACGAAGAAGCGTAGAGCGCCCGATCGACATCACCAGAAACATACTTCCCCCTATTTTATCGAGTTTCTTTTCTTTTTTAATGGTTTCTGGAGTAACCGGCGAATGGTTAGTGGATGGAATCAATGACAGATGACGCCGAATGGAAGGAACGACGAAAGCCACGGTGTAACTAATTCGACTTTATTACCCGGCCCGGGCAAAGTCTCCCCGGCTTCCCGATTCCTCCGCCGATTATCCTCATCCGGCGAATTCACCGAGGTGTTCCGACTTAAACACAGACTCGAACGAGTTTCAGCTTAACTTGGTTGTTGTGAATAAGTAAGCGAAGTGTTGCGAAGTGCTGGCAGAAGTTTCGCGAAGCCCCCACCCCCACCCTCCCCCCAACCCCTCAGGGCGCGTGGCCGGGGATGGCTCGAATTAAATTGTTATACGGATGAGCTGCCACGACGAATACCAGCCCTGAAACCACCGACTTTCCAGCCACCCTCGGGTGTGAATCTTTAATCACCGACTCTCATTATATTTAATAAAATAATACCGCCTTGCGTGTATCAGACTGTGTCAGTATTCTGGCGTCCTCAGTGTCAAATAATCCATTTCATAGGGATTAATATTTCTCTGCTTCACGAAAAGTTCAAGAATTCCGAATGAAAGTCTAATCGAAGAATATGATTGTCCTTCAATTGACATTGACGTTACAACTTAGAAAAATTTCATATCTAGTTTGATATTCCTTAACAGATGCATCGTAGCGTTGGTAACTGGTGACCAACATGCAATGTAAATTCTAAAATGAAATAATACAATCAGCGTGAACGGAAAGTCAGCTAAACTGGGCTCTGCGGTGAGCGTGTTGACCTCGTGGTAGCAGTTCTCTTCAATTCAAACAAATGGTACATCCAGACAGAAGGTGACTCTACATGTAAAAATAAATCGAAAAAGTGCGACAGCATTTTTTCGTATGATATTCGTGTTTATGTATTCGTGTTTACGGTAAGTAGAAATGGAATGCAATGATCAGACGCGTTAGGCCAAATGCTATTCCGGAAATGAAGCATTATATGAAAAAATTTTAGTCTATATTTTCGATTTGTTTTTGTATGTAGAATAACATTCTACCTGATTATACCACCTATCTTGGCCCATATTGTATATATTTATGAATTAAACTGAAGTATCTTATGGAGTCTGAGAAGCTTAATGTTCTATTTTGAATACTATTCTTGCATAACTTGTAGTATTGAATTGAATTTGAAGTATTAGGTGTTCGAATAAGTAATCCAGTGTTTCTTTAATTGGGAGGCGACATGTTTTACCTTGAGTTGAGTAACAATTGTGTAGCATGCAAGAAAAGCACTATGAATATAAATTAAACAGTATAATTCTTTGATATCCATAGAAACGACTACTGATTTCGTCAAAAAATATTTAGTACACAGTATTCACTGTTCCTTTTATCCGAATGAAGATGAGGTAATCTTGTATTTACATGAATTTCCATGCAAAAATATTAACATCTCATTATACCTTACCTGTGATTGCATTGCTGACAGGCGAAACATTCCAAGTGATAGACGTTGGTTCTCGCCCTCATCACCAACTCGAAGGCCGGTATGCTTTTGTTGCAAGCCGCACAGTGGCCGGTGCTTCCGAACAGTCTGCACAGTCGGAAAAGAAGGAGATTTTACTGATTTTATTATGACAAGAACCGCGACATTTAATGTTTCCCAAATGATATTGCTTTTCTTTCTCCCCGGTGTGCTTACGTCACTCGTTTCGAAGAGCCCTGTATTGGCCCACCCCATGTCCCTAGTGTCGGTGATATTAGAGAGGACTTTTGGCCCGTGTACTAACGGGAACCAATAAGCTTACGAACCGCCACGAATATGCCATCTTCAAATATTAGGCCATTAATAAAGACCACGGTGAGAGGTTCGATAGGCGAGCGGTCTTTGCAGACACGCCACCTGCGCGTGTTCCCTCGGGACTTTGTAATCTCAACACGGTTTATTTGCCCTCGCCTGTTTATATGGGACGTGGATGTATTCAATAAGGGAAACTCATCTGTAAAATTCGATTTGTTGCTTCCGTTCGCCTCCGCGGGACTCTTCGTACGTGCGCTCATCCCGGGCTCTTCTCCTCCTCTTTGCCCCTTTATTTACTTCGCGAAAACATAATGAAATGGTCCGTCAGGGTACTTCGAGGCGGACGGAATTGTAATTTCAATGAATTAACGTTCGGATATCGTATTCATAAACAAAACACGGAGCACAGAGTACGGAAGATTTTATACCATGTAACGATTCGTTTGTTTTCTGAAAGGATTAGTTTAAATAATAATGTTTGAATTAACAATACAATATACAGAGTGTAAAATACGTGAAGATAATCCAAGGTGCAAAACTGTAGACGAAGATGAGATACTTTTTCCATTTATTTTTGTTGAAGAATATAATGTAGTGTATAACATGTACACTATATGTACGTAACGGATACACAGAGACATGTCGATTCTAGATCAAATGTACTTATTTATTACGTGAATGGAATGTTGTTGTACGTTACAGGCGATATTGCGCGATGAAAAGGCAGCAACCAATGAGTTGCATTTTCTTGTATTTCTGCATTTTGACTTCCAACGCAATCGGACGCGTGTGTGGCCTGTACACGTCAGCGTCACGCAACGTGGAAAACGTTCGTGTAATTGATTCAACCGTTATGCATTGAACGCATTGGATCTCGGAATTGCAGCATGCGACACGCAGTGTGGAAAATACACACAGCCATTTGTATCCTGCGTGAGACACGCAGTTCGCGACACACGGCATACAGAACGCTCGTGTATTTTAGAATTTGGTGCGAAAATGGGTATGTAAAGAGTGATCGTGAAATAAAAACGTAAGACCCAAAGTAGGTGTAAAATCATAAATTAAAATTGTACAAGGCAGGTCGTGAGTGGTCAAAAGATAGGAATAAGTGGTGTAAAGATTTATAAAATTCATAATAATCGTACAAATAAATACTTGGTAGAATCTTATGAGTTTGAGCATCTAGAAGGAACAAGACGCGTACACTACTGCCCACAATTATTAACATACCTGCTCTGTATAGAGAGAATGTAATATTTCGTTTATTATTTCATAGTAGCACAATCGTTGTTCATTGATCTTTAGTATCCCCTACATAATATTAATTTCAGATTTTTAAGCAACTTCCTAATGCCTTGTAACATATTTACTGCATATCCGTTAATATACATATATGAGCGGGAGTGTACATTTTTAAACAAATCATTTCTATCGTCAATCTGTTCCACCGTTAAAAAAAAAACTCACCTTAGATAGTCCCTCTTGCACAATATAAGATTGGACTTGGTGTACAGCGACCAGCCGACTTCGACGAGTCTGCACGCGCAACAGCTGCACTTCAAGCAGTCCTCGTGCCAGTACATGTCCAGCGCGTTCAAGAGATACCTTCAATAGAAGAACGCGTTAGTGCTGATTTAACGTTCCATCGTCACCAAGGCGCAACGATCTGCACGATCAGTTAGCCTGGTTTACCTTTCCGTGATCGGTTTGCCGCAGCCAGCGCATTCCTGTTGCGAGGCACCCTTCTTGCTTGGTTCGCTTTTGCTAACATCCATCGTCATTTTATTACTCGTTCGGTGTTCGTCTCGTTACCTAGAACCAAACAAGATCCTGACTGATTATTACGATTCAACGGGTAGTCACAGAGCGGGTAGGGAGTGTTGCATAATATTGTTGCCCAATTAATACGAGCAACGATTATTATATAGTATCAGCCAATTAATTTTCGCATTGCTTCGATTAGCTTACGCGGTAAATCAACGGGGGCGAACAGGATCGAATGAGTAATCGCGTTCGCGTGCTTTTAACAAGTTTCACCGGCATCTGGCACTAGGACGTCCGCTTGTCTATGAGCAATTAGAGTTACAGGTTCAGAATTTAACGGCGCGGTTAGTGCCATCTGTGTCCATCCAGAGCGGGGGCGGCCTTTCTCGTCCCCGAAGTCTCTCACCCTCTCCACGGCCGCGTCTCTTTCTCGCGATGCGGTCAGAGTTTAGAATCGAATTAGTTTGACCATCTCTCTCTACTTCCCGCTCTCACTCTACTTTCACTCCACTTATTGCACGTTTAAACGGCACCAGTTCTGAAACAAATGTCTCGGGTAACGGCTGCGCGAGCTTCCCGATAAACATTAATTGTTTTCGGTCGAAGACATATGTAGAATCCACCCCTGTGCTCCGTTTAAACGGAATTTCGAGAGTTTAACGTTTATTTAATCGGCGTCCCGTGTTTCGCTGGACTTTTCGCTTCAGTCGATTGGATTATTATGATTGTTGGAATAATAAGAATATGAGAATTTGTTTGTGCAGGTGATGTACGCTATTTGCTAAACGTATGAATCCAGGTATTGTATATAGTAGCGGAGGAATATATTGTTTTGCAAATGTATGTTTATCAGAATCGATTAACACAGGGATTTCATATATGCACACTTATTCATAAATATTATGATAACTGTTTTGGTTATGGAAAGTAGATGTTTCATATGGATTACGTGTTTTGCACCAGTTTTAAGTAAGTATTAACTATTGAACTTCAATATTCTCAGGATAATATGTTTTCAGTATTATCAATAATTTTTTAATAGTATTTTAAGTCTGCTTCTCTTCTGGTAAGTGTATATAATACTTTTGTGTGATTATAACACGATGTTATTATATTGTACAAATTTTATGTAGCAGTCGGTAAAAGAGAAAAAGAAGTAGAAGAGAGATAGAAAATTACTTTTACTCAAGTCCCAGTGTCTGTTTTAAGAGTTATACAAAATAATTACCTTCTATAGCTTACTATCTTTAATCTAAACTAACATAATCTACTTAACTTAATTTGATAAATTCAATGCAAATATAATGAAATGTGAGATTGTTGTTCCTTGTTCAATAAAGGAAAGGTAATTCCAGTGGACCCATTCATTAAATTAATAGTATATAATACAGTCAGAGACAAATACGTTTTTCAATTAGAGTTTGAATTGTTCATCTTTATGCAATGCTACTCGATAAGAAGAAAAGATACGGCGATAGACCTAATATTCCGAGTGTCCTTTAGTGGCTTACTCAAATCCACTTGTTCGATCTAAGCCACCCGGTATATTTACGAGTACTCGTGAATGCTATGAGCAAAGTTTGTGCGGTTTCAATATGTCCTCTCCCCTTAGCCTGGACACAATATTACGGGGACGTTAATATCTTCTATGCGGTTCAGACTTCGCAGCAAATATTAATACCGAGCCTTTGACACGTTAATTATTAAAGACTGAAATATTACAAACTCCTCGCACACAGTGAAGATTTCGTTTTCGTGAACGGACATTGCTCGTCTCGTTATAAGAAGACAGCATTCTTAAAAAATTTGTGCAGTTTGTGTTACGACTGTTTCTTATTATTACTTTGGAAACAGTAAACACGGTCGCGAGGATGACGCGGAAGCGAGTTAATTAATTGCGTTGGATCCATTTACGTGCCTTCTCGGCCATGGATACATCGAACATGATATAAATAATGGTGTAATTATTATTCGTAAGCGTATATTCCTATGAGTCCAGTGATTAATGGAATAACCAACAACCCAGGTAAATTATGCAAACTATTAAATCCGAATGCGCGCAAAGTTGCCCACATAATAATCGCGGCACCGATCGAATGCATCCCGGCTGAAATTTATGTCCGACATTAATACATTTTATTGTTATTATAGGTTGATTAAAGTCATCGTTAATATACCCATCGGAAAATAACTCCAGGCGAGGCAATATATTGAATAGGATTAATCGACAAGAATTACCAATATGCCGCCAAGCGTTTCCGGAACTTGTACACGAGATGTATAAAATCCACTGTCGATCAAGCACACACCCTGAAAACGTCTCCTTTGAGACATGAAACGAGCGAATACTCTGTATTCTATAATAACAGAAGTATTTTCGAGTTAGGCATAGCGGAATTCGACCGCAGGGACTTCCTGCGGCAGCCAACCTGAATACCGACCTAGACCTCAAAAACCTTTCTCGGACCCTATGTGGTCAGTCAATTTCCACTTTGTACCACAATTTTCGTGTACTCGTCGTCTCTCTCTCTCTCTCTTTATCTCTCTCTTCGCGATAGATGTCCGGCTTGCACGATTATCCCGCGGCGAACAATAGAAACAAGTTACTAAACATCCGTAATAAAGTATGAAACTGTTTTCGAACGGAGGGTATTTAATTAGTGATTTAAACGCATCCTTATCGCGTACGTTCGTTACGATTGTGCTGCAACATTAAACACCGGTTATTCCACCAATATATTGCCCACCTTTTCGTGCCTCGCCGTGGCTTTAATTGCTCGACAGAGAAGTTACTGTCCGTCGAAAAGCCAGCGGAGCACAGTCGAAACGGTTCGCTGGAACGTAACCGTGAAGGGTCCATAACAAGAGAGAGAGAGAGAGAGAGAGCCTACCCTTCGGAAGCTGCTCGCATCGCTGGCGATCTGTTCATCAGGTACGTGATCAGATCATCCACGGACGCTGCTCCTCAAAGCGACGATAATTCGATTATCTCCGTACACGTTCGACGACCGCCGACATGTCCTCCAATCGGTACATCTTCTTGGTTAACCAACTTCCTGAATCTAATTAAATTACTTCCATCCATTGGTGACTCTTCGTTGCAACATCCTTTTTCCTGGACGTTGAATGATTCTGACCATTTCGTTGCTCTGCCGATTACACCAGTATCGAATGTATTAATCGAGTGCAAAGAGTCTTATACGTGTGTTAAATCACTGATTCGCCAGTGACGCATTCGACTCCAGATGAATGAATTTCAATGACCCTTTAAGAGCCGATGTAGTTATTAGATCATTCTTTAATAACAAATAATATATTTTTGTCTGATTCAGAGTTGGGCAGAATTTCATTCGAATGTTCCATAGTGAAAAGTAGAGGGTCATCTTGATCTTCAAACAGTTAATGTGATTAAATAATTGTTCGCCAAGTGTCTACTCAATCAAGAAGAAGTATTACTTTATCATAAAAAATTGTAATTACCACGATCAAACACGGTAAAATGGCGAAGTACTGTTTTTATCTTTTATTCATTATTTGAAACTTTTTATCTGGATAATGAATTAACCCATTCCTGATCTGGTTTCACTGGATTTTACTATATTTATTTGTTACACCGAAGTAGACTGAATTTTGTTCGTTCGTTCTCGGATCGGTTACTATTTCAGTTGTCGAACTTTCTGGATTACTTAACAAGTTCTCCAAAAGCTCCCGGCGAATTTCTCCGAAAGGCGAAAGGAGGAAAAGCAGCTCTCTCTATTTATCGACGTAACTGGGCAGTCTCGGATGCAGTTCTCAAGGCTCCGCCCTCGTAGCATCCGTGACACTCCCCGGAGAACCACCCCTGGAATCTCGACGGCGGAAAAACAAAATTTTCCCCGTTCTTTTCAATTCCAACAGCCAACACCGAGCCCGGTCCAGGCGATATCTTTACTGACCCTCGACCTGTTCTTAAAAATATTATTTTCTAAGTTTATACATTTGGCCAGTAGAGGGGTAAGTTGGGTCTTCGCAAAAATTTGCCCAGGATGGTTTGTGCACACCGTTCCCGCTTTTGTCTTTAATAATGCCCCCCGCGGAAGCGTTATCTTTTACTTTTAGGACGAGAGCACGGGCATCCGGTGAGTCGGTCCATTAATTAGCCGGGCCACATTAAGCCCAGCATTAATATACTCCGCTGGCTGTTTTGTTTTATCCCGCAGGAAGGACGTAACCTTCCCCGGAGGTTGAAGGGGGCGACCATGGGGAAGGCGAGAGGGGGAATTATTTCGACGGCGGCAGCCTGCTAATCCGACCTGCCATGCTACCGCCTTATCCCCAGAGACTGTTTAAATTCTGTAAATCGTCCCGAATATACCCACCCCCCTGCGCCCCGCCCGTTAAACGGACACGCAGCGCTGCTACGCGTTTCCGGGAAATTAAAGAAGTTGATAAAGACGTGACGGGGGTCCCTTTGTCCTGGTTATTACTGTCGGAGTGGTACCTTTCGGATTTGTTTTCAGATTTTTTCATTTGTATTAGGTGTACCGATTAAGTAGTCCATTGTTTTTTTGGGGGGAAGGGGGATACTGTATTCGGAACGAAATAACTGAAATGTAATTTTAACATATTCTACTACATACATTACTGAATTGTAATTTTAACGTATTTTAACAATATTCATTATTTGTTCCTATTATCTTCCGTTATTTTGACTGAAGAGAAGATTTGAAAGGCATTCTGAGTCCAAAATGTATTGCCACCATTGTCAATTTATGCAGGTGGTATAATTTGATCACCCACTGTAATATGGATTGGTAAATATTTACGAGTGGCATTGTATGTTCGATGCAATGGTTTTTAGATTTAAACCTCCAGCGTGGACTCGTCGGCAGAATTTGTCGTTAAATATCGTTTTCTTCCGCTCGTAAACGTTCTGATTTTTCCGGTAAAACCACGGCAAATCGGCTTACACGCGTGTTTAGGTCAGCCCGCGAAGCAGGGGATGAGAGGGGGGGGGGGAGTTGGCGTCCGTAACGAT